GTAGCGGAAGCAGCGGCTAGGGGAGAGGAGGCCTGGGAGAAGGAGTACGTGCCGGCAGAGGCCCCTGACATCCTGCAGAGCCGGGAGCCCGACTGGTTCGCCTGAGCCGGGAGGTCATCTGGGGCCCCTCGGACCCCGGGAGATTCCAGGACTGCTAGTCTCCGTGGGAGTGGGAAGGGGGAACCGGTGCAGCGTCTGGCTCTGTCTCAGGAAGGTGCTCTGTAGCTCAAGGCCCCACCGAACGGTTAAGAGGCACTGGACCTTTTTAGCTTTTACACTGTGGGGCCAGCACCCGGGGAGCAGCCCGTGTTCCTACGCTGCGCCAAAATGTCAGGAGCCGCTCCAGCCTTTACTACGGTGACGGCACACGTTAGACGCCCGAGAAGTATCACGGAGCAAAGAACGAGTAAATGAACGGGCTAGCAACTAAACAGTGGCTTTTCTGGAACCGTGTCGGTTTCGCGTCTGGTGGTATATATAATAGCGGATGTCTCCTGGGTTCCAGCTCAGGCGGCGTCCGCGAGGGCTCCAGGGCTGGAGGAGAACTCGGTTCATCCCATTCCAAGCCCTGTGGGACCGGGTCCTACGAGAGGCCGTGGAACGAGGCCCAAGCATCGGCCTGCCTTCAGCGCGCCTTGGTGCCTTCTTGTTAAACTCGGGGCTCCGCTGAGGAAAGGTTTTTGGCCGGTTCGGGTTAGAACAAGAACAGTTTGTTTGCCGACTTCAGTCAGTGTACATCGAGGGACACAGCCAGGAGTGTCCTTCTCCCGCTCTGGCGCCCGCACACCCACTTACCTTTCTCAGGGACTAGAGCCGAACCAATCGTGCCAGGCCCCTGTAGTTTGTTTTCCAGTTTTACTCTAAATGGACTTATGTGCTCTTTGAGAATTTAAAACAATTCGGGTTGATTCAATATTTTAGGAAACGCCTTACAAACGCAATGCCGGATGCTTTTGCTGGAGCAAAATTTCGTGCGGGCCTAAGGGACTGGGATGTTTCTGGGATGCTGGGCCGGGAGAAACAGAGCGTGTACCGTTTGCAGGAGGTGCCAGGGCTCCCACGGCGCAGAAGGGCTCAATGCTGCTGGTCCATGGTTGATGCCAACACCTTCTAAACGAGTATCTTCAGGTGGTCCCTAGCTGAAACCAGCCTGGAGCACCTGGCTCACCAGAAGCCCCGGTGAAATCGAAACCACCCTCCCCTCTTCGTTTAGGGAATCCGAGATCCGTGTTCTGTGGAGGAACCTCAAGCAGCACCCCGGGTCCCTCCATTCTAGGTGTTTCCTAAATGGAAGTTAGTGTTTCCCACTCAAGGGATGTTGGAACAACTCAGTGTCGATTCAGAGGCTTGCGTTCTCTGATAGTGTCACCTCTAATTAGCAGGCTGTTGTTACCTTTTACAAATCTCCAGTTATCAGTTTCTCCATCTGTAAGAGGAGAGCTGAGATGAGCAACTTGGGGGTTCAGCATCACCTGAAGTTCTATGCCACTGGAGCAGAAGCCCAACTTTCCCCTGGCTTGGGGCTCTAAATTCAGAAGGCAGCAGACCAACCTAAAATTGACTGGACCAGAAAGGGCAAGACTGGCAGGCAGGTGTGTGATGTGAGTGAATCTGTGTGTGGATGTGTGCTCTTTGGAGGGGCCTGAGAAGCCATTTGGTTTTCTGGGGCTCAAAATACTACTGTGCTGTTATCATTTATTTGAGACCATCTAGGTTCTGTGGGGATTTCACTCTGTTTGGGTCTCTTCTATAGGCAGGTCTGGTGCCTGGGATCCCCTCAGTTCAGCATGAAGGGGCTTGCCAAAGAGATAAAAGGCTTGGAAGTTGGGGACCAGGACTAGCAGGTGAAGGAGTTCTCTTCCCTATCCTGGGGAAAAGCCTGGTGGAGAGTCGGCCCCAGATGCATGCCACAACCTGTAAGGCGGTTCCCGTCTGTGGGTTTAGGTTTTTCTTGCATTGAAAATGTGAGTGGGTCATGCTTGCCTGGCTGTTGGGACTTACTGGGAAGCTGGGAGCTGGGGTGAGATGTCAGAAGCTCCTCCAGCCTCAGCCCTGGCCTTGGCAACCCTGAGGCCTGGAAATTCTGGATTGATTCTCTTGATTTCTGGGGTTCCTGTGGCTCCCCCAGGAATGCAAGGTCTGGCAGGAGGCTTGTGTTGGGGGAAGCAAGGGCATCAGCTCCTTCCCCAGAGTATGAGAATGGCCATCAGCAGACCCAGGACAAGCTGCAGCAGAGAGGAATCAAGACTCTGAATCCCTGTCCCTAGGCAAAGCAGCCTAACCCTGGCCCACAGGAGAGGACAGTTGGCACCCCCAGGCATCATGCCATCTCCCTCCCTTTCCCATTTCTTAAACAGTATAGGTGGTGTCTTAATCTTCTAAACATTAATTCAGCATTTATTGAGCATCTACTCTGTGCAAGGCACTGGAGATTGAGCATTAAGGCAGTGTGCATCCTTGCACACTGGAGTTATGGAGTCTGACATTAGAGGACTTCCTTATTTCTGGATGAGAAAATCTAGGCTCTAAGAGATTAGGTGTGCAACAGGTCCCTCTGTGGCACAGCTGGGACTCAAACCCAGACCATACTAGGCTATTTCTACCTCCTTTTCCAGGGATCTTGGCCCCTCTGTTGAGACAGATTTCCTTTGACCTGTTGGATGGGCACTGAACCGACTGTAGTGTGTGTGTGAGGGTTAGATGGTTTGTCAGGGCAGAAGTGGGGTGAGGACTTGGGTAGCCCCAGACTTAATGCGGGATTTAAGGAGGGGGAAAAAAAAGATTGCTTGTCAGTCAGCCTCTGATTCCCCCAGCCCCGAGGGCGCTCTGAATCGTAGGGCAGGAGGCGGCCTTGGCATCACCAGGCCACCCTAGGGTCAGGTATAGAGACCGGCTCTACCCAAGGGCGAAGGGCGCCCCCCTTTGGGTCACGTTGGAGAGGGTATTCCGTTGGGGGACAGATTTTTCCTTATTCTGCCACAGCAGTGGAGTCATCATTTTCAGTCTTATGCCCCCCTCCCTGACTGAGCCTGCTGTCCACTCTACCCCCCAGCTTTTGGGAGGCCAGGCTCGGCCAGGCGGTTCCCGGGTTCCTCCGCTGCCGCGCGCGGGGGAGGGAGGTGCAGAGCGTGTCTCGCCTCTCCGCGCGGTCAAGGTTGCACTCCCTTCCCGGGCAGAGACTAACCGTGGGAAAAGCGCTACCTCGGACGCTTAAAGCCTCTCCCTCGAAGGCCTGTACAAGGAGCCTTTGAACACGCTGCCCCTTTTTGCCGGCAACCGTTCCTCCCTGGGCCCCCGCCCCCGCGCTCTCCGCGCCGGGCCCAGCACGAGGCCCCAGGACAGCGCGATCTAATCAGTCCCGGGTCCGATAAGCTTCTAATTAAAAGAGCCCTCTGTCCCCTCCGCAGGCGCTTTCAACACGGCCCTTCCCGAGGGTCTTGAGGGAGGGGTTGGAGGCTGGCCCCTGCCACCCCCCCAACCCGGTCTGCGTGTCCTGCCTGGGAGGGGCCCTTGGGAGCCTCGCGGGGCGCGGAGGCGACGTGGCGGGTTCGGGAGCTGCAGCCCGCAACCCTACAATTGCGGAGCCCGCCTCCAAGGACAGCACGTGCTCCGGGCCACTGCCTACTCATCTGCTCAGGAATGGAGAAGGGTTCGTCTAGAGACAATTTCTTTGTGGTTTCTATTTCTTCTTCTTTTAAAAAATATCTTTTCAAAATTCGGCCTTCTCTCTGCAAAATTGGGTACTGAGAGCCAAATTTCGTTTGTAAGCTGACGGGTAGGCCTCAAACAGGGCCGTGACTTCGCTCCCAAAAGGAAGCTCAAGCTGCTCACCCACGCCTGACAGCTACTTAGCAGGCGAGAGATGTAGGACTGGAATCATGCAAATTGTAAAAGCTGGTGGCTTCTTAAATTGTCAACCTGTGAGCTTTTGCCTGCCTGGTACGATCCGGTATTTACGACCTGCCACGACCCTCTCTCCCACTCTGACACACCGCACTGCCCGGAGCTGGCAGGAGAAGCTCCGTTTTTGTTTTTGTTTGGGGGATATGTTTCAAAGATGGGGTAATGGTCTCCTTCCTCTGTACATCCTAAGTCTTTGCAGACACCTGTTGCAGAGTCTCTGTCATGCCTGGGTGTTTGACACATCCCACTCCCAAAAACTGAGTGGAGTTTGGAGATCCAGCGCAATGGCTAGGCGGGGAGCTGGGGGAATGAGCGGGGGATGGGTCGGCACCGTGGCCCTGCCGGAAGCCTTTGTGAGCGCCCGAGCCGATCTCATTCGCCTCCTGGCCTGGATCTCAGGCCAGAGACGCTGGGGCCTGCGCATAAAAGGAGGGAATCCCACCATTGCGTTGAGGGCCCCGGGACTGACCTTCATCGTAGCTGGAGGATACTTTTTCCCCAGAGGTGGCAACAGTTTTCCAGAAGCTGGTGGGGTATATGTTTAAAGCAATTTAATAACAATAATCACAGAAGGAGACCACGGTTTTCAATCAAGACACCACATTCTGTTGGGTGTCTTGGGGAAGAACCGGTCCGTCTCGCCCTTGGGTTCTTGGTAGGGAAACTGGCAGGGGACCCGTGCACTGCCATGGAGGGAAAGGGAGCTACGGAGTCAGGTACACCCTAAAACAGGCACGCTCCCCCACCTGGGGCGCGAGGAACCCCACGGTGGTGGTCAGAGTAAGGACGCACTGGATGCGAGTTGGGTCCGAGAGGGTAAGGAGGAGGGCATCGGTCCGATGCCGGCGGGCTCAACTGGAAGGGCCCCTTCTTTTAACCTTCACCAGCTTTCCTGAGGGCCTTGGGTGTCGTCGTGTAGGGTCGCGCAGCCTCAGATAACATTACTCAGTAACTACTCTCCCTTACATCTAAGGCCCATGCCGGTTAACGGGCTCCAAGTAATTAATGAAAGTTGGTGCGCGGTGCCCTGATTTACGGCTCCGAGTCAGCGCGGGGTCAGCGGAACAGATTCATTTCGCTCGCCCGCGCTGCCCCTGAGCAAGAGCCACGGTGTTTCTCTTCGGAGATGAAGAACTTTCTCTGGCGAGCGGTTGGCGGTCTTCATACTTCACTTGCCTGAGGTTCGGTTCAGGAGCGGCAAACACCGTGGGAGACGAGGGGCGGACATGAATCGGGAACCGGCGGGGAGGTCAGGGTTTTCCTTGGGAAAGGGCGGCGCGCCGGCCCCGAGGTCACACCTTTGGGCTTGGGCCCGGCTTCCAGCCGAAAGTTCTGGAGGCCGGTGGGGTGGCATAATCCTCCGCTGGGGTTTCAGGTTCGGGGGTGGGGGTGGGGAGGCCGCGTGCTCCTCGCTCCGGGTTCTGGTTTGGTAGACGCACCGACCCGGCTCCCCCCGCTGACGTTGTGCTTCTCTCTCCGCTGCGCTCGCAGGATACAGTACAGTCACCTTCGACGGGACGCCCAGCTACGGTCACACGCCCTCGCACCACGCGGCGCAGTTTCCCAACCACTCTTTCAAGCACGAGGACCCCATGGGCCAGCAGGGCTCTCTGGGTAAGCAGGAGGGAATGATGTGGGGTCCTTCTCCCCTTCTTCCGTGCCAAACCCCCCCGTCCCCGGAATTTCCAACCCACCGCAAATTGTGAGAGAAGGGATTGTTAGAAATAATCAGACCAGTCTCACCCAATTTAAAAGAAAAGATTGAGTTTAGCCCCCACCCCAAGTATGTTGGGGACAGCTCTACTCAAGCGAGTCTACGAACGTCTCGAAGGTCTTTTCGGTGTACTAGGAAGTGACTGCTAAGGGAATGTGAAGTGAGAAGCAGACTAGCTCCTTACGATCTGGACGCTTTCTCTCGGCACGCCCCGGCATCCAGGCCCATTGCCCCCAGCTTAGCCTCCGAGCCTGGCTGGGGATGCTCTCTGTCCCAGACCCTGCCCGCGTCCTCGCACCTTTCCCCCCTATTCCCCCCCCCCAGCCTTTGGGGCGCGCTCACTCGGCTCTCCTCGGCTCTCCGCAGGCGAGCAGCAGTACTCTGTGCCGCCCCCAGTCTATGGCTGCCACACCCCTACCGATAGCTGCACAGGCAGCCAGGCCCTGCTGCTGAGGACGCCCTACAGCAGGTAGGAAGGCGCTCAGAACGGTGTCTGGGTTCCCGGGACCCCGGAGGGGGCGCGCGAACCGGCGGGAGCCGGAACGTCCGACGCGGGCAGCGCGGACCGCGGGCATGTAGGGTCCGGAGGCAAAGGACGCTTTTAGCTACTTAAAGCAAATTTAAGCAGATCTCCTGGCTCTGATTTGAAAGAAGCAGATTTCCTCGTCTCCTGGCGCTCTTGTTTTGAATATAAACGAGGGCGGTTACTGTTTGAGCTAAAGAAGAGTGGCGCTTCGAGAAGTTATTTTTGTAAGGCTTAGGAGCCCTTAGCTTCCTCGGGACCAAAGATTAAACATGGAGTGCACTCCCACTCCGTTCTTCTCGCTTCTCAGACCCCTCCTCGCCCACTGGCCGCACCGGCCGGCCTTCTCTGGGAGTAATTCGAGGGCGCGTACGCTCGGACCACAGCCTGCTCCCCTCGCGGGTGCTCCAGAGTCTGTGGCTGCGGCGGCGCTCGGTGGGCGTGGCTCCCAGCGCCGGGCCCCGCGCGGGACCCGACCCGGACTGCCGGCCGGACGGCGGTCGGGTCGCAGCGGTGGCCCCCGGGGACACTGCTCCAGCCCGCGCCGGCCCTCCTTCCCGTTCCAGGGAGGCAGAAGACCAGCTTCTTTTCCTTCCAAGCTTTTTTCCCTGTCCCTTGTGTGTTCTCCCGGCTCTCGCTCCACCCTCAGCCTTCTCTCCCCCAAATTTATTCTTCAACTTTGGGTGAACTTGGCCGGCATCCCGCTTCTCCGATAGGGTTGCCTAGTAACTGGTGCACACACCGGCGCGCGCGGGGCTGGAAGGTGGGGCGGGGGGAGGGAAGTGGCGGCTCTCGGCCTTTGAGGCGGGGGATTGGGCGAGCATTACCTCATATTCCGCCCCTAACCCCCACCCCGGTGCTGCGGGGATCCTGATACCGACTGCCCCCAAACTCATCTCCATCCTCCCCCCTCCGCTCGAGGACCCGGGGCTGACGTCAAGGGAAGGAGGTAGTGAGGTAATGAAGGAAGGAAAAGCGCCTGCCCTGGAAGATTGGGTGGGGGCAATGGCCGCGCCTGGGGGACCTCCAGTCCCACAGGTGGAGGAGGGGAAGGAGTCTTCCCTCCCCAGCCGGCGAGGGCGCATCCCAAAGTCTCGGTGTGCTTATGAAATTGAGCCTGGGACTGGTCTGATTCTCCTATCCGGGGGAAGTACAGGGTCGAGCTCCTTCGAGTTCTGTATGCCTGAGGCACACGGATTTCGGAAGTCTTTCCTTTTGATGAGAAGATCCGGCATATCTAATTGGATCTTGGATTCGAGATCACTCTCCTTCCCTTCCCTTCCCTTCCCTTCCCTTTCCTTTCCTTCCTTTCTTTCTTTGAGCGAGAAGGAACAAAGAAATGCATGAAGGTTGCAGAGAGAGAGAGGTAGAATGACCACACCTCCTCATCTTTCTTTTGTCACTAGCTAGAATCCAGTTCTGTTCTTTGGCACCTCAGTCCCAGTGTCCTGTCCCAAGCCCACAGTCTCTGGGCTTCCCCTTGGTGGGTCCCATCACTGGAATGGGTGCAGAACCCACAACCATTCTCTGTTGTGAACACTCCCACTCCCACCCAGTAAGACTGGTGGCAGGACCATTGCCACTCTTGAGGAACTCTTCCTGCCATTGCCAGAGTGCCATTGCTGTTACTGGAGTAGCCACTGGGGGCGTAGTTGGGATGGTTCCCCATGGTATGACTTTGGCCCACTCCTCACTCTTTAGTCCTGATTGGAGCCTTACCCCAGGTGGAAAGGAAGACCTTGACACTGGAGTGGGTGTTGTTTAGATGTGCTGGGATATCTCCTTGGGGGTTGGGGTCTGGGAGGCATTGGAGTCTAGTTCAAAAGGGACACAGGTACATACATTTCTTACTCTCCTCTCTCCCAAGCCTCGAGCCACACTAGGAAGGGGCCGTCAGAGGGGCTGAGCAGCCTAGAAAGAGGGGGTGGGTATAAAGTGATCACAGCCACTGGTTTAACAGCAGTTCTGAAACTGAGTCCCTGTGGTGGATTTTGCCCTAGGGCTGGATTTGTGGTTGCCACTAAGTAGGAAAAGTCACTTGGATTGCATTTTATAGGTAAAATTCTCACATTTCTAATCCAGCTTCTGATTGTCCACTACATAAAGCAATTTTGTCAGGTTCATCTTTTGGAAATACTTGCTTATCCCTTTCTTCTTTCTACATAATTGGAACTTTTTTTTGCTTCTCAATTTTTATATTTATGTCACAAAAATAGCATTTTCTTCTGTTAGAGAAAATTTCTAAGCAATAACATCTAAGCAAGAATTTGTGACTCCTGTAGGGAAAGAGTTTGCTCCCTTGAAGTTTGTACTGTCTTTGAAATTCCACTCACCCTCAATTCATAACATTTCTAATCACTTTTCAAAGGTCAGGTACTTGCCCTGCAGTAATGATGAATGAACAGGTGTAGGGATGTTTTAAAATTGGTTCTACGCATTGACATTACTGCAGTTATGTCATTTCCTTCTTTCTTATTCATGAAAAAAAGTTTGAAAGGGTATTGAACTGCTTTTATGAATGCAATGTTTGAAAAAGCATAGGAGGGCGCCTGGGTGGCTCAGTTGGTTAAGCGACTGCCTTCGGCTCAGGTCATGATCCTGGAGTCCCTGGATCGAGTCCCGCATCGGGCTCCCTGCTCGGCAGGGAGCCTGCTTCTCCCTCTGACCCTCCCACCTCTCATGTGCTCTCTTTCCCTCATTCTCTCTGGCTCAAATAAATAAATAAAATCTTAAAAAAAAAAAAAAAGAAAAAGCATAGGAAACGACTAAATTTTAATCACTTAATGGCTTAACATTTGGGTTTTAGTTACTCAGTGGTGCTTCTTTGGTCCCTGGCTCCATTCCCTTCTCTCTAAAATTGGGACCTCCTGGGAAAGACTTGCTTGTATTTTTTTCGTTTGCCTTGTCGCACTTGACCCCCTGGGGCAGCCTGCCCAGCCTCTTACCCGCTGCCCTTCCAAAGCTTCTGTCTCTCCAATCTTGAATTTAGTCTTCCTTCCCAGCATGAAATAAAGGTAATGGTACATATACTGATATTAAATAAGCAATGAACAATGTGAATTTGCTTTGAGGAAATTCTCAAAATTCTCTCCTTGTTAGGAGAGAACTGTCCAGTGATTCTCTCTCCTCTCTCAGGTAACAGATCTAAGGAGTTACAGCTGTGCACATTTGTGTGTAGATATGAACAATAGTGAATGGAAAATGTCCCCAATCAACTTATAGGAAGTGATAGGAGATGGTTTTCCCCATCCTCTCTGCCATCCTCCATTTTGAAGGTGGATAGATTTCTGTCTAAAGGTCACTGAGGTTTCAGAAACCAGATTTCAGCCCCTAGGGGACCCAGTGATCATAGCTGGGTGAAACATGAGTAAACAATGAGGATTTATTGCATGCTGCCTATGTGCTGGACACAGTGCTAAGTGCTTCACTCAGTTCATTCATTTAATTCTTCTGATTACTTTGTGAAGTAGGTACTCTAATCTCCACTCTACTGAAGAGGAAATAGGTTCAGAGACTCGAAATAACTTGCTTAAGTCACACAGCAAGTCAGAATCAAGACCAGGACTTGATCCTCAGTCTCTCTGACTTCAAAACCCATCTGTGCTCTGAATCATGGAGGGATTCCAGGACACTCAGCACCCCCCACCTGGAATGTTCCCCTTATACAGTCTGTACCAGTACTGTTGCTGATAAATATGCAGAGCAAATGCTTATATAGACTTGCTTCATCCGCACACCATTCTAGGCACTTTACAAGTATTGACTTCTTTAATCCACATGACTCTTGGAGGCAGGCAATAGATTATCATCCCCATTTTACAGAGGAGGTCCTGGGAGGTGACTTTGCCCAGTATGACACAGTAAGGGACAGAGCTGATGTTCGAGTTCAGGTAGTGAGGTTTCAGAATCCCTCCTCTTACCCACTTCACCCTGCCACCTTTCCTGATAAAGAAATGCCATTTTATTTCCAAAGGTGGCATCTGTCCGGAGTCTCACTAGAGAAAGGTCTTTATTTCCCAGTTACGAAAGAAATCCCATTATCCATTAGTTTTATCCATAACTTTCAATAGAAAGCCCTTAATGGATTGGGGGCAGTATTCTTCCTGGTGAGTATTGTCAGAAGCAACTTGAGCTTTCTCCTGAAGCCCTCACTCACAAAGCAGCTGTCTGTCCTTCAGACCTCAGACTCCTCTAGCTTTGCCTTAACCACTGGGTGTGAACTATTGGGGGTAAAGTTCAGTCCAGACACCTGAAGACTTTTCTCCCCATCCGTCCAGACCCAGGAAGAACGACTGCTTCTGGGGCCACTGTGATTGTGCTCAGAGGCAAGGTTCCAGGGAGGTTGGACCTCCCGCTCTCCTGAGGGGAGAGGGTAGTGAATCCACTCTCACTAGGCACAGATTTGTCCTGACTTCTACCTAGAACAGGCAGCTAGCAGTGTCTTCCCTGCTCACTTCCTTGGAATCTTCTTTCACAAAGCCCTCTGCCTTCTCTTCTTGCGGACCTCCTTGGAGCCCCCCATCCCTGACTCTGCCCAGTTCATGGGTTGATATTCACAGCTACTTTGAAAAGGAGTTCTGTGCCCCTGTGTTTGAAAAATATTCCCCACACGTTTTTTTTTTTAAAGATATTTAGATATTAACTCTTTCATTAGGTTTGCACATCCTTCTTTAGCAACTGTGCTACCAATTTAAACGAGCCTATTTCCTTTCGCCTCCTAGTAGGTAAAACTGCTCCACCTTGGGAAGCCGTAACTGCTGATTCAAATATTCTTAATTGAATGTTGATGATTCACAAACGATGCGGTTGACAGTGGAGGCTTTTTGGTTGACAGTGGAGGTTTTTCATGTGAGAGAGACTTCCGTAGCAGCCCTAGAGTTTCTGGGGAATCCAGGTCAGCGGGAAGTACATTACCTACCATTGAGGTTGGCCTTCCACTTAGACAT